TTACATATAAATTATACCAAATAAAATTTTAATGTGATGTGGCATATTTTTTTATTATTTCAATATTGTGTGACAAGTGCCTTTAGGCACGAGTCATAACTACCAACTCATTTTTACATATAAATTATACCAAATAAAATTTTAATGTGATGTGCCATAATTTTTTTTAGTATGTCAATATTTTGTGACAAGTGCCTGTAGGGATGATTCATAGCTAGTTGTCAAATAATGTACACCGAAATACAAAATAGATTCTAAAAAAGATAAAGAGAACTTCCACTCAGGAAGTATATTAGTTTTCACATAGGAAAAAACCCAAGCCACCACTCCGGTAGAAGAAAACCTTCATGAAAGAGGAAAATTTCTACATAGAGAAGTATTATTGTAATACAAAAAAATAAATCAAAATCAATCATCACCAAACAAACATTACCATTCACTCCCACGATTTGTTCATCGTCACAATCGCCAACTGTGATATTTTAATTCTCACTTTTACATTATAAAATAAAACATTATGGATTTGAAATGGTAATGTTTAAGAATATAAAATTTGTGTTATATATATGCAAAATACTTGAAAATTATTTAAGAATATTATTCAATCAACTAACAAATTAAAACTGCCTAAAATCGTGCGAATCGCAGTTTGGTTATTTACCAATCCACCATTCACAATTTAGTTTATAATTTTACTTTTAAATCGCTCGAACTCTACCCCACTAATTATCACACAGTTTGGCCTCTTTTGGGAACTTGGAAAAAAATTAACTTATTGGTTTATTTAGGTCACATCATCTCTCTATTTTTTTTACATATTTAAAAAAAAAAAATTAAAAAAAGCCAATTAACTAGTTTTTTTTCCTATTTTCTAAAACAAGCATTTATCATTATCACATTTACCTTTTGACTTTTAACCCTTCTTTCCTTCCCTTCCTAAAAGGAGGAGGATCTTCTCCGGTTCAAAATCTAGGATGGGAGAGTGTTGTTTGGGGTTTGTGATGTTTATTAGATCATCTCCAACTGTGTATCAAACATATCATCAAATTTGAATTTGATGAAAAGTGATTCTTTTTTTTTTCCCCCAGCTCCAACAGTTTCATCAAATCAGTATTAAATCTAAGATTTAATTTTTCTTTCATCAAATCACTGTTCATTGTCGTTGGATTTTCACTACCGGATGTCCCCCTGGATGTCCTCCCGGATGACCACCTCAAAGCAAAAGCTTGTGAAAAAATTACACTGGCTGGTCGACTGGACAAACGACTGGGCGGTCGATCTCCCGAATGACCACCTTAAGAAGAAAAAATGTGAAAAATTTGCACTGCCTGGTCAATTGATCAGATATCCGCCCCATCATCCGCCTTGTCGACCGATGGTTTGATGAAGTCGCAAACCCTCCGTTGGAGCACTTGATATCAAAGAGAGCTTTTCCTCAAATTTTTACTCAAATTTGGTGAAAAAATTGATGCACCGTTAGAGATGCCCTTACGGGTCCCATTTTGATATTTTGAATTGTTTATTTTATTAAAAGTGGTGCTATTAGCATCCCATGAATTATTTTGGACCTCCCATTTCTTTGGGCTCTCACTTATAAATTTTGAAACCCTTAAAATTTATTTTCCCCCCCAAATAATACCAAAATTATCTTTAAACATTCCACTTAGTGAATGCACACCCTCTACACCCCCACACTCCCAAAAAAACCTCTTTTCCAAAAAATCCTAACAAAACCCACTAACAAGAAGAAAGTCTCATCCTTTTCAAAATCCACGAAGAAGAAGAAGAAGAAGAAGAATACAGTCTCTGTCGATTTAATTATTGTCACAGTTAGTATACTCTCTCTCACTCTCATTGCTTCTTCAAAATTAAAACTACGGAACTTGAAAAAAATAAAATTTCTGCGAGTGTTAAGAATTTTAACTGTTAAAAGTGTTAACAAATTTTCATGTTCGGACTTGCATTCTCGAACAAATAATCTATGTTCGAGAATGTGTTCACGAATAAATAAGTAATATTCAAGCCTGTATTTTCGAACTTGAAAAAATAAAAACTTCTGTAAGCGTTAATAATTTTGACCGTTCAATGTGCTAAGAAATTTCCATATTCGAACCTGCATTCTCGAATATTATTTATTTGTTCGGGAAATAAGTAATGTTCGGGCCTGTATTCCCGGACTTGAAAAAATAAAAACTTTTGTAAGCATTAACAATTTTTACCGTTCAATGTGTTAAGAAATTTTCATGTTTTGACCGTTCAATGTAGGTAATCAAATGGTTGCCACCGTTACTGCCAAAATATTGCCGCCAAAGGGTTTTCAAGGTTTTGAGAGTGGGTATGTTTTGAAGGTGGGATTTGGGAAAGATAGATTAATAGTGATGAAGATGGGTGCTCTCATAAACCTTAATTCATGATGTAGTGAGTAGTGGGTGTATAGGTTTAATTATGAGATGGGGTGTTTTAAAATTAATGATATCCTTTGTAGTAATTTTATTTGAGATTATTATTGTAATAAAAAAAGTTAAAAATTGAGAGGTCCAAAATAATTTGTAGGGTACTAATAGTAGTACTCTTTATTAAACACTGTATTTCATTCAAAAAAATTAAGTTGATCTGATAATCATATCCTATTCAATTTATCAAATTTATAACCAAAAAATATATATTTTAAAAAATACAATTATCAATCATTTTTCTGTATGACAAATATAATAAATTTAAGGGAAAATTAATCTAGGGCCCCTCTCCCACTTTTCGTAATGGAAGAGATCTACAAAATTATTTTTTGATGTCTAAGGTCCCTAAACATATATCAGAGAAATTTGACCTTACCAAATCAAAACTCATCTCTCTCTAAACTTCTCCATTCTCAGACCTGTCCAGATCAACTCTTGTTCCTCATTCCTGACTTCATTCTCCAGCCGATTGAGCTCCACCTTCATCGTCAATGGCGTCGCCGCTTAGGGTCTTCATGTACAATCTTCCCCGTCGATTCAAGTCGGGATGCTGAAACGTCGGAGATCCGATGAAACTCCGGTGACTTCCCGGACTCTGCCGCCGTGGCTTGGAGACAAACGATCATCTGAGGATTCGAATTACAGACGCAAAGCAGCAGAGATGGGAGATCCCCCAGCAAATCCTCGCCCCGTAGCAGCCCAGCTCAGACCTCATTTTCACTCTCCACAACACCACTCCCTTCGGATTCATCTGCAAGACATGCGTCACATCTTGGCATGTCACTTGTCTCTCCACTCCCCCTCAAACTCTAGCCGATACTGTCCAGTGAGAGTTCCCCGATTGCTCCGTCATCGCCAATCCTAATCTCATCGATAAGTCGGCCACTAGATCTGAATCCTCCGGGGATCTGATCGCGGCGATTCGAGCGATTGAGTCCGATCAGTCCTTGACTGTGCAAGAGAAGGCTAAGCGAAGGCAACAGCTCATGAGCGGAGGCCCCAAGAATTTCTCAAATTTCTCTGGATTGAACCCAGAGAAATTTGAATTTTGTGCTTCAAAAGTATTAATCAAAGTAGAAGACTTTTTTGTATTCAAACTATACAGGACAATAGTTATTTTAGATCTTGATGCATTGGATTCAATAGAATTGTTGTTTTGAATTGTCATAATTATGTTATAGCAGTTGGGTACTTCAATGGAGATGTCATTGAACTTGTTAAATTTTGTCATTGCTATCAAACGTTTGATGTATTTTATAGATGTCAATGATTAAAAAGATGAGATGATGAGTTTTGGCATTTTGCACTATATGGCATGCAAAAATTAGAAAAGAGCCAGAGAAATTTGTGCAGTGAGAGAATTTTCCTGAATAGATACACCAATTTTCTCTTCACAATTTTCTCTGGATTTCTTTTGTACTCAGAGAAATTTCAATTTTCTCTGGTTTGAATCCAGAGAATTTCTTTGAAGAGAAGTTCAATTTTCTCTGGGGAGAATTTCTCAGGGACTGAAATTTCTTTGGATTGATGTTGAGGGACCTTAGACATTATGAAAATATTTGATGTCCTTTACACTATAAAATCTTAATATCAGGAACCTTAAAAAAAATACCCCTAAATTTAATAAGCTATCAACTTAATATTTTTTTGGAAAATGTTTGGTAGCTCAAAAATTTGTGGCTCAAATAGCTCAAATTTGTCAAAACGACGTCGTTTTACAAACGACGTCGTTTTAAGTGATTTGAGCCATTTGAGCCACAAAATTTTGAGTTACTTAGCATTGTTGTATTTTTTTTTTGTGAATAAAATACATAAAATACTTAATAAAAACGGTAGTGATTGGGGGCCCGAAAACGGGACGCCCCGAATGCCCCTAATTTTTTTTTTTTTTCTTTTTAGCAGAAGAAAGGAGGAAGACGAAGAAGGGAAGGAGGGGGAGGGGGAGGGGGAGGGGCCCTAAAAAATGGAGGAGGAGGGGCTAAGGCGAGGCAGACGCGATGGGCAGTGGCCGATGCGATCGGCGCAGGCGACGCGACCTCTCTCTCTCTTTCTCTTCCTCTCCCTCTTTTTCTCTCCCTCTTCCTCTGCATTGCAGAGGTCGAAAATGGCGGAAAAAAAGAAAAGAAAAAAAGAAAAACGGAATGCCCAAAACGACATCGTTTTGGGCATTCAGGGCATTCGGGGCAAGCAGATTCGGACTACAAAACATTTTCCTAATAAAAATAAGAGTTCTGCTACGTCAAATGGCTTTTGGCTCGAATGGCTCGAGGTGCTAAAACGACATCGTTTTGGCACCTCTTTTTTTTCCCCCTGGTCTTCGTTCCTTCTTCTCTTCTTCGTTCCCCCTGTTGAAAAATTAGAGAAAGAAGTTTAACAAAACCCTTTTCTTCTTCAATAGCAGTTTAACAAAATCTAAATCTAAATCTAAAATCACATCTAAAATCAAAACCAAATCCAAAACCAAATCCACAGTTTAACAAAATCAAAATCAAAACCAAATCAAAAATCAAACCCACAGTTTAACAAAATCAAAATCAAATCTAAAATCAAAACCAAATCAAATACCAAACCCACAGATATTTTTTTTTTAATTTTTTATATTTTTTCCCCCTATTGGATCTCTGAAACAGAGGCAAAGAAGCAGAAGACGAGAAAGCATAGAAGAGAGAGGAAGAGAAAGAGAAAGAGAGAGAAGAGAGAGGAAGTTCTTTTGTGGTCCCAATTTCTCTTCAGATCTTGAGCTTTTACTCATTTCCATTACTTTCTAGTCCCAATTTCACTTTTTGCATTCTATTCATGTATGTATAAGTACAATTGAATGAAACAGAGGAGATGAGAGAGAAGAGGAGAGGAGAGGAAACATAGATAGAGATAGAGAGGAGAGGAGAGAAGAGGAAACTGAGGGAGGTATTTTCGGACCATTCGAGCTCATTTCTTTCGAACTACGAATCATTTTTGTAAAAATAAATAATTTAGATGATCAAAACGGAAGACGTCCAAACCGCGTCCTCCTCCTCCCAAAAAGATAGGAACTTTCTCCTGAGCTTTCTTCACTTACTTTTCAACGCGTCTTTTTTTCTTCTCTTTCATTTTCATTTCAATTTCACATCCCTTTATAGTTCTCTTCTCTCAGCTCAACGCTCAAATCTTTTCTTAACTGTACAAGAAATTCAAAAGAATCAGAAGGAAAAAAAAGAAGGACGCAAACGATGTCGGATTACATACCTGACGAAGTCTTGATCGAAATCCTTGCGAGACTACCAGTGAAGTCTCTGCTTCAATTCAGGTCAGTTTGCAAATCTTGGAACTCCTTAATTGCAAACCCAAGTTTCATCACCACACACCTCAATCGAACTAAATCAAACACCACTCTCCCCCAACTACTTATCATCAAGTATACATCTCATATTCAGAATCAAGAGCACTGTATTTCATGTAGCGATGACCAAACTTTTTGTGATGAGTTTGTGGACCTTGAAAACCCATTTCACAGATCTGGTAAATCGTTCAAAATTGTGGGTTCTTGTAATGGGTTGTTGTGTTTATCGGATTATGATGTCTCAGGTTGTGCTTTACTATGGAACCCATCAATTAGGAGATTCTTGACACTTCCTGAATCTGGGTATTCTGTAAGCGATAGCAATCTTCGGTTTGTTTTCGGATTTGGGTTCGATCACAGGTGTAATGACTACAAAGTGTTGAAAATTGGGTACCTCAATGACTTCAAGACTGGTGGTAGTGTTCTGTGTAAGGTGGAGCTTTATACACTTAGCACGCACTCTTGGAGACCTGTTTGTGTTGTTGATTTTAAATTTAAATTTTTTATAAATACCTCATCTGCCTTTGTGAACGGGGCTGTTCATTGGGTTGCATTTGATCCAGCAAAGAAGCGTGGTTCTGGGATCTTGATTGTGGCATTTGATATGGGCAATGAGGTGTTTAGGGAGATCTCTTTGCCCAACTATCAAACTAATGGGAGGCTTCATACAAGCACGGCTGTTGCAGTATTGGGCGAGTCACTTGCTGTAATCGACTTTGAATCTGATTTAGTCCCTGCGGACCTGATTTGTAATTTCCATATATGGGTAATGGAAGAATATGGTGTCATAGAATCGTGGACTAAACGATACACAGTCATTGGACAACACATATTTTCGAATGTACTGGGTTTTAGAAGGAATGGCGATGTGTTAATTATTCAAGGTGGACTTCCAGGGGAGTTGGTTTCATATGATCCACAAAGTCACCAAATCAAGTATCATGGGGTCTATGGAAACTCATTTTATGTGTATACTTACATAGAAAGCTTAGTTGCACTAGATGCGGCTGATGGAGTATGGAAATCACATGGGCATCCCAGTTCTCCTAACATCGTTGCCAACCAGGGAGCATAATGATGAAAGAAGAGGAAGGCAAGATTATTTATACCCCACTCATAGTTATAGTTTGTTTGTAGCACTTAATTGTTGTAGTTTGTTTTCTCAGATATTTTTTAATGACATGAGCTACATATGACCATCAACCTTGCATCAATATTCTTTTTTCCTGAATGCAATATTGCTATCTTAATCTAGTGGCTATATCAATTTAATCTTTTGAGTCATATTGTTGTCAAAACTATCTCTGTGCACGTAATGATAAGGTCAAATGGGATATTCATATTCAGGTTTTATCACCTTGACACTGTCAATATTTCACGCTAGTTGACTCCTTTTACAGGGTGGTTGTTGGATCAGGGGATTAACTAAAAAGAAATGAGGAAGAACTTAAAATCAGAATAACGGTTAAATTGATTTAGATGGATTGCCTTTTCACATATTGTTTTTAATTCTTGGTGTTGAAATATGCTGTTTTCCTCTCATGTATGTTTGTATAAACTAGAGTAAGTTGATTGGGAAGATATACTACTTGTTGAATGTTGTACCCTCGCGTGGTTGGAAAATAGAGGAAAGGATGAAACTATATGCAAATTATCTTTTAGATGTTGTGCAAATTATCTTTTGGTTCAATGGTAAAACCTTGGCTTAATAACCTTGAGGTTATGGGTTCAAGTCTCGGGACAACCATTTTGTGCACTATGCCAAAGGTTAGTTGTGTACCCAATTTTTCCCCTCCCAAACACACAGTAATGTGCACTAATTGAACGTTGTTTTTTTATGCTAAGCTGAAGATATATTCTTGTGTTACTCTAATGTTTTTTGGTGCCATTATTCCTAGTAAGTGTCTTTCGACCTTGAGAAAGGTGTCACAACCCAACCACCGCCTCCCGGGATTAGAGACGTAACTGGCCAGTAATCTGAGATTATCAAAGGCTTGCTTGATAGTAAATAGTATTAGGGGCTGGCGGAAGCCAATGATATTACATTACATCGTCCAATGAGCTGTGAAACTAAAATGAATAAACAAATTTTTATATGCATCACTGTACAATCACCCATTCTATATCATACATGTGTGCCAAAATCATATACAACACTTAGGAAAGTAGGAAATCATGATTTCTAAAAATATTTGTACAAATATGATGCAGATATTAAAGAACTTTTGATATCTTAAATCTATTGTATTCCTAGTTTAGTTTGGATATGATAATTTTGTGGGTGAATCTTTGGATATGATACCTTAGTAGCAAACATGATTTTTATTCATTTGCGTTGATGTTTCATATTTACAACATTTGTCTTCCAATCTTTGCTGTTTTGAGACATTGATATCAATTGCTAGCCCATGTATTGCTGGTCTTAGCAGTTCTATAAAATCGTTTCGAATAAAATCATGGATTTCCTTGAGATTTCTAGCAATTACATGGACCTCCCATTTGGCTCTAGAATTCCACTACCTTTCCTTAACTTTTTCTGACAATATACAAAAATTTCCCCTCCCTTAGTTGTCTGGTAATGATCTGAATAACTGGAATAAAAAATGTAAAAAGAGTCATTGGTCTAAAAATTTAAAATGTCAAGACTACCCTTGGCCAATCAACATAATTTCGTTAATTTTTGTAACGGAAGTTGATTGAAGGGTCACACTGAAACTCGCTCAAAAGTACAAGGTTAAGATTGTTGCAATTGAGACATAGAAACTGAAGTGAAATTTAAATGAAAGTTTAATGATACAGTGTGTAATTTGCCCTGATAAAATTATCAAATTACCCCTAGCTATTAAAACTTAATATAATGACAAAACCTGTCTAACAATATACTAAATTAAAATGAACACAAACAAAGACTCAACATTATTCCAAAACTTCATATTGTGATACCCTAAACGTGTTATGTAAAAAATTTCAAATTTCAAATTTCCATTTTTCTTATTTCTATGCCCTTCGTCACCATATAAAAGATCTAGACAGGCACAAGATTTTGTTAAAATTTAAGTTTCCTGAAACCCTCCAAGTCATATGTTCTCTCTCTCCGAATATGAGGAAGGAAAACAAATAACCAATGTCTTTGGATGATACATGATGCTGACTAGAATTTTTGCAATCCTACCTTGGTGCATCAGCCCAACTAGTGTTGATTGTCTTGTCAAAAAAAATACATCTAGTAATGTCATAAATACAAGCTAGAGTCATATGATTTTATCTAAAACAGACTTCAAAAACATTGTACATAAACCCTAAACCCTAAAACATTGTACATAACAATTTAGTAAAACAAAAAAATGTACTTGTTAGTATAAAATTTATTACGAAAGAATGCCTAATTAACTCTAGTTTCCTCGTCTTCTCCTTTTTTCTCTTCTCAACTTGTGTTGCTTCCTTCCAAAAGTGTTGATGAACCATTCGTGATACCTTGTGGTCAATGTGTGCCCAATAACCATCCCAACCGCTAATCCACTCACATATCCCATGCATATGACAATCCGATCAATTGCACCTGGGAATGCTGAATCATTACTTTGCTTTGAGTTCAATAGTGGCAATTGTGGTAGTGCCTCAACTTTTCACATTTCCTTGACAAAGGATCTCCACACAATCCTCGATACCCCTCATAGGAATTGTTCTCAAATGTATTGAATTGCTTCCCCTGTGGAATTGGTCCAATGAGAGATGGTTATTTGAGACATTTAAGAATGCAAGGAAAGTGAGAAGTGCTAGTTGTTGAGAGATCTCCCCTGATAGTATATTTTGAGAAAAGTCCAATGTTTTGAGCTTTGTTAGGTTCCCTAAGAATGATGAGATTTCACCGCTAAGGTCATTGTTGAAAAGGTTGAGCAGCTGGAGCCTCTTGAGTTTCCAATAGATTCTAGAATCTCCCCTTTGAATTTGTTGCTTGAGAAGTCAATGGCAATGAAGATATTCAAGATCTTCTCATACTCTGTATTTACACCTATATTTGTTATATTCATTGTGTTGAAAAAGCTTTCTTCGACCAATATATGACTATGAGCTGGGAATTTCGGGTTGCATACATATATGCCATCCTGTCCACGTCAACAAATTTCATTGTGTTTCAATTTTGAAAGTAATTGGTTGGAAAATCACCTATAAAGCCATTATGAGAGAGGTCAATGATGCGCAAATTTGGTAACACCAACTTAGTTTCAGAACTTCCCATTGCGCTATACAATTTTTTTGATCGCGAGATGAGAACCTGCAACTCTATAAGAACTCCCAACCAAAAGGGGAATGTATCTTCAATAAGATTATTTGAGAGATCAAGAATCTCAAGCGCAGTACAACTTGCTAATGATCTCGGCACCTGCCCCTGTAATTGATTACTAGTGGAGTCAATCATCTTCAATTTGTTTCCTTTATTGTATGAGTGAGGAATGGGACCCTGAAAGTTGTTGCCTTTGAGATTTGGGATTGACAGAGAATTGCTGAGATTACTCAAACATGGCAGAATAGTTCCTGCCAAGTTGTTATTAGACAAATCAAGTATGTAAAGAGAACTCAATCTGCTGATCAATGGTGGATTTTCTGCAGTCAATCTGTTGTCTGAGACATAATAAAAGAGGGTGGAATTGTAGTGGCCCTTGCAGCATGTTAGAGCCAAGGTCTAAAATGCCTAAATTAACCCAAGGAATGATATTTGGATGGTCAAAGCCAGTTAGAAAGTTTTCCTTAAGGGATAAAACCTCCAAAGTTTCTTTACTTGTGTTTAACATCCATGCTGGAATTCGGCCATGAATTTTGTTTTTCTCAAGAAATAGCTGATGAAGTTCATCTTGGAAGCACAATGTTCAGGATTGAAACCTCCTAGGTGCTAGCAATTCCTTGTACCATCAGCCTGGGGGAAAACACTTGAATTAATTGTGGTGTACTTGCGGGAAACTCCTTGTCGAGGGTCTGTGCACCCTTGGGGATTAGTCAAGCTTTGATTCGGACAACCCGGTGCCAATCAAAGAAAAAAAAAAGTTGTCAAGAAACAATCTAACAGAGCTATTCATTTGACTACACGGAAAGGATAAAGAGAAAGTGGCCTCACTCCTGATTTATAAGACAAAGAGGCAGAATCAAATTAGGAAAATAAATATTGATAGATAGGAAACCAAATATTAATAAAATCATTAATAATGACTTGATATGATTTTTTTTTTTTGGATAAATAAAAGCTAGTTTATTAGGAAAACAGCATAACCTAATACCATATTAATTCTTAAAAATCCTTAGTTCCTAAATAAATTTGATTCTTTCCTCACTCAACACATTTCCTGTCCACATTAACTTCTCAGTCCTCATTGATACAACAAAGGTAAGGGAGACGGGGGAATACAAAGACAACAAAATAAACAAAGAAAATTAAATGAACGATTTTTGATAGATTTTGTTAGGGATGATAGAGATAGACTTAGGGTTTTGTTAAGGTTTAAGTTAGTCCAAAAAATACCTACAGTCATTGAAGAAGAAAAATTAATAACAATGCCTTTGCAAGTTAGATGACTTGCTAGCTTTTTTTTACAAAACTACCTTTACGTGCATTATTCAGGTAATGTTTTTTTGGTTGTCTTTGCCATAAATACAAGCTAGTCACATGGCAAAGTTTGGGAAGACTAAATAAGTACACTTTTTTACTTTTCTTGTATTATGTGTAGAAAAAGTAGAGAGGAGATGTTGATTGATGTGACCCAAAAAAGATAAAAAGATGAAATAAGTGTACTTTTTTAGTTTAGCCGACGGATCACAAAAGCAATGTATAAATAATAGTAAGTTTGGGGAAGCTACTGCGCAGGGTGCGCAGCAGCATCTGTTGTGCGGCGGAAATGGGCCTATTTTGGGGCTCATTTTGATAATCCGAATCGTTCACATTTTAGAATACATCAAGTAGAACATGCCTGTAAAAAATCAAGTTAATCGGATATCGTTTACCCATTCATCCACTCACATTTCTATCTATGCAAATAAATAATAATTGTGATTTAAAGTATTAAAATGAATACAAATGTGAGTGGATGACTAGGTAAACGATATCCAATTAACTTGATTTTTTGCAGGCATATTCTACTTGATGTATTTTAAAATATAAACGGTTCGGATTATCAAAATGGGCCCCGAAATGGGCCCATTTCTGCGCACAGCAGATGCTGCTGCACACCCCGCGCAGCAGCATCCCCAAACTCATAAATAGTTCAATAATGCTAAAACCTTACCTAACAATATAAAACTTATCGCAATATATTGCCTAATCAACTTCAGTTTCTTTGTCCCCTCATTTTTTCTTTCTCCGCTTTTGTTGTTTTCTTCCAAAAGTCTTTATGAACTATTCATAATACCTTGTGGTCAATCTGTGCCCAATAAATAACCGTCCTGATTACTATTCCTCTCACATATCCCATACATATGACAATCCAATCAACTGTATTTTTGAACACTGAATCATTATCTTGTTTTGAGTTCAATGGTGATGCCTCTGACATTCCACATTTCCTTAACAAAGGATCTCTGCACAATCCTGGATTCCACTCATAGGAATGGTTCTCAAATTTTAAATTGCTTTGTGTGTGGAATGAGTCCGGTGAGATGGTTATTTGAAATATTTAAGAAAGCAAGGAAAGTAAGAAGTGTTAGTTATCGAGGGATTTCTCCTGAGAGCCTGTTTTGAGAAAGGTTCAACGATTCAACGTTTGTTAGGTTCCGACGCACGTTGGGATTTGACCACTTATACCATTGTTCAAAAGGTTGAGCAGCTGGAGCCCTTTAAGGTTTTTAATAGATTCTGGAATATTGCCTTTAAATTTGTTGGTTGACAAATCAATGGCAGTGAAGATCCAGGATCTCATTGTACAATGTATTTACAACTTTGCTTGTAGTGGTCATTGAGTAGAAATAGCTTTCTCCCAACAAATGGTCTTCCCTTATAGTAGCCTTCATATATATAATCCGGTCCTCATCGAAAAATTTCATTGCATTCTAATTTTGAAAATATTTTGTTGGCAATTTCCCTATAAAACCTTTATGAGAGAGGTCAATGATGCACAAATTTGGTAACACTAACTTAGTTTCAGGACTCCCTATTGCACCATAGAATTTATTGGATCACAAGATGAGAATCTGCGGCCTGTTTGATTTAGAATTTTGAATGGGTTTTTGAGAGCCTAAAATTGAAATCTCATTGTTTGTCTCTATTCCCAATACTATTTTAAATTTATTTCTATTACCAAAACTATTTCAAATCTATTCCAAATTTATCATTATTCCCAAGACTATTTTAAATCAAATTGATCTCTATTACCAAAATTATTTCAAATCTATTCCAAATTTATTTCTATTCCCAAGACTATTTCAAATCAAATTTATTTCTATTACCAAAGCTGCATTAATTGAATCGATATATATGTTGAAGTATGCGGTACATCATATTTTCAAGTTAATCAACTTTATCTCTACGTTTTAAGTGTATTTAGATTGTGTAGATCTTTTTTTTTTTTTTTTTTTTTTTGGGTATGTTAGTATTTAATGATTTTTTAAACGATTTTTTTCATAAATTTTATATGTTTAAGTGTGTTTAGATTGAGTAGATCTAAAAATTCAAAATCATTGATCAAAATATTTAAAAAGTTCACATATGAACAATAAAAGACGAATTGAAATTCAAAGATTATTTTTGAAAACTCTATAAACAAATAGAGTTTTAAAAATTATTTCAGAATTACTAAACCAAATGAGTTTGATTTTTAATTTTCTAAAAACTATTTTTAGAATGTACAACCAAACAAATTTTCAAATTTTGAAAACTCTTTTCACAAATTATCTTTCAAAATTGATTCTGAAAACCAAATCAAACCAAACAGACCTTGCAACTCCGTAAGAGTTCCCATAAAATTATTTGAGATGGTAAAGTCGTCAATTTGTTAAAATATAAACTAATTTGACAAAAATAAATATCGAAAAATATTTTAAATTTTTAAAAATTATTTCTATCCACCAAAGATAAAATTATGTAAAATTGATAAATCTTTTACACATTTATTTTTTTTTACCAAATTAATTTTTATTACGTGTTTGGGTGATCTTTTACACATTTATTTATTTTTTTACCAAATTAATTTTTATTACGTGTTGGGATGATGATCATGTAATGGGTAATTGCTAGACTTTAAATGTGTAATCGATGTATTTAATATATGAAATGTTTTTAGTTTTGAATTTTTTGATTTAATGGATTGGTTTAGTAATGATATCAAAATTGTCTCCATTTTTTACTTTTGAAAAAATAGAAATTAATTTAACGAAAATAAAAACAACTACCTATTACATGATTATCATCTAAACACATAATAAAAATTAATTTGGTAAAATAAATAAATGTGTAAAAATTTAGCAATTTTACATAATTTTATCAATGATGGATAGAAATAACTTTTAAAAATTTAACAAAAAAATTGACATTTATTTTTGTCGAATTAATTTATATTTTATCAAATTGATGAATTTGCCTTTAAAATTAAGCAATGGTATATTCAATTGTCCTTATTTAGAACAAGATTCAAAATTCAGGGTCAAATGTGTCACAATTGAAAAGTTAAGAACCAAAGTGACATAAGTTCCAAACTATAGGAACCTTTAGTGTAATTCGCCTTTTTATTTTTTGCTGGTTTTGTTTGTTTAATGACATAAATTGATAGTTATTGCTAATTTTGTTTTGTTAATTTTGAAATTTTAGGATTTTTTGTTTTTGACAGTGTAACAAAGTTTAACGGATGGTTAGAATTGAAATGAATACAGAAATAGAGTTTAAATTGGTAAAATTGAAGTTGATTTGATATTAAGGTCAAATTTTGAGATTTTTTTAATAAATTTTCTAATAAAAATTATAAACTTTTCTGTACATATGTAATAATTGTTTCAAATTATCACTGAGAGATACTTTCTCCTTCAAAATATCGCTTGCTAAATTTTTTGTTTCTTGGGTTCAAAACTGTTTCTATGATTTATTTGGATAAGAATTAAATTGACATTTGATTTTAAAAACATCCTATTAACGTTTATTTATTTTGGAAGAAATTTAAAAAAAAAAATAAAAAATTAAAGTTTGACTCTTAAAGCAAAATATATTTTAACAAGTTGTTTCTTGATTTATATAAATCATTTTTATTTTTGTTAATTTAAATTTTAATATTGTAAATTATTTTCAATGTAAATCATTTGCCTTCTGTTAAATAAAATTGATAAAAAAATAATATCTTAACTATTAAACAGAAAAAAAAGAGTATTTTAGACATTTTATATTAGTTTAATGGCTAAAATATCAAACTTTGTTCTATCAGTTTTACTTGAGAAAAGTAGATAATTTAAGTTGAAAACAAAATTTAAAAGTTTATAGTTTAAATTGATGAACATAAAAATTTTTTTGGGTATTAGGGTTAAGAGCCCTGCTAAATATCCCTAGTGGGGGTCGCACTCCTAGTGAGGTAGCGCGCCCCTACTGGCTGACAAAAAAAAAATAATAATAATAATTTTTTTCGCCCAATCACAAGCCTCCACCTCACTGGGGTCGACCAGTGGTGCTATAAAACATTTTTGTTAGGGTTAAATACTTTTTCTTTTCCTAAAAAAAAAAAAAAAAAAAAAAAAAACTCAAATTTTTTACATGTCTTTACTTCTATTTACTTTCTTTCCCCTTTACACCAAAAGCAAACACAAGATTACGACGGCGATGATGACAAACAAGTTTAGAAGCAAGAGAAGAAAAATGACGACGACGACAAAGAAATCAATATCGAATGCTTGGATACCTGAAAACTCTTGATCGAAATCTTTGCTAGACTACCTGTGAAATCTCTGCTTCGATTTAGGTCAGTCTGCAAATCTTGGTACTCCTTAATCACCAACCCAAGTTTCATCACCACACACCTCAATCGAACTAAATCAAGCCACAGTCACAAACTACTCATCAAGTTCAACTATGGGAATCGAGATGGTTGCTTGTCATTTACTGATGATGAGACATTTGGCGATGAGTTTGTGAAACTTGAATACCTAGTTCAAAACTACAATGAATTCAAGATTGTTGGTTCATGTGATGGGTTGTTGTGCTTATCGGATTATTATGGCTCAGACTATGCTGTTCTATGGACCCCATCAATTAGGAGATTCGTGAAACTTCCTAAGTCTGGTTCTTCTGTGACCAAGACTCATCGCTTGCTTCGGTTTGATTTTGGATTTGGGTTCAACCACATGAGTAATGACTACAAAGTGGTGAAAATTGTGTGTGCAAAGGATAACCATCGCCGTTATGTTGTGCATAGGGTGGAGCATTTTGCACTTAGCATGGGTTCTTGGAGATCCGTTTGTATTGGTGATTTATGTTATAAACTTTATGGTTTTGATTCCTTGCTCGTGTTTGTGAATGGGGCTGCTCATTGGGTTGTATTTAATCTAAGAAAGGATTGTGTTTGCATTCTGGCGTTTGATATAGTTGAAGAGGTGTTTAGGGAGATAGCTTTGCCAAACCATCAAATTGATGTGATTCTCCGAACACACGTGTCTATTACACTATTGGGCAAGTCACTTGCTGTAATCCTCTATGAAGCTGTTTTTTACTTCTGTGAAAACAATTGGGACCAACCATGTATGGGTAATGGAAGAATATGGTGTCATAGAGTCATGGACTAAAGGATGCAGAATGATTAGGAAGCAAAGAGGTTGACAGTATTGGGTTCTAGGAAGAGTGGTGATGTCTTGGCATTGTGATGAGTATTTAACTTTGGTGGTTTTGTGACTTGGGTACTTTGAGAAAAGATCATATAATTTACTTTGATTTCGAAAAATATTTGTACAAATATAATGAAGTTCTGAAATGAATTTTGCTATGTAAAATCTAATGTATTCCTAACTATGATTTGTTAGTTACTTAGCAACAAACGTTTTATTTTTTATTTTTTTATTTTCCTTGATCTTTCATATTCTGTTATTTGACCAAGTGAAACTGCAGCCTTTGTTCCCCATATCTATAAACTTGCATTGATAGAGGAATTCATTAAAAGTTATGGTTTTGAGCTTTTGTCTATCTTTGGCACCTTCTTTCTCTGTTGCAAAGGAGATGTCATTGAAATCAACCCCCATGCATAGCCATGGTTTGTTCAAACTTCGAGAGCTATTAGCTATAAGAGAGCAAAGATTTTTTTCTTTCACTGATTATTGGAAAACATCAATAAATGAGAGCCTCCACTTTCCCAAAAGGTTATGAAAAGAGCATTGGCTATCCCAAAAAGAAAAAAAGAAAAAAAAGAAGAAGATGGAATTCGCTAAAGTGCAAATCCACCTCTTTGTTTGAAAAAATTACTGCTCCTCCAAAAAGACTGATAGACTCAAAAAGTGAAAAACACAAATTAAATACTCTGATTTCTTCAAATTTATTTTCTCTAGCTTGTGTTTCAAGCAGACAAATTAGTGAGGGTCTAAATTGGACATCCAGGACCTTTAATGGTTGAATTGTCAAGGTAGCCCCAGCTGTCGACAATTCTTATACAATATGCTGATTTGGTCCCTTGGGGCTGTTGAGGGACAATCGTTTGAACCTGTTTATTGACCAGAGCCTTTCGTGAATTCTGTTATATAAGTTGCTAATCTGTGCTAACTCAAAGTTAGACCTCTACCTAGTCGTCTTCTTATGTCTTGGGTTCATCCTTAGTAGTTTGATTTATCCTTTTGATGTGAACATGCATGCAATTTGTTTTCAGGTTTGTATCTATAACTACCAGAGCAGTGTTTTCTTCCTCTTTTTGAGAGTTGTTCTTAGCTTGAAAAAATATGGAAGTAGTATTCCTTGTATCAATTTGAATAGTCTTCATTTTTTTTTTTTTTGGAAGGGGGGTTGGGGTGTGTGTGTGTGAACTGTCCTCAACCACAAAATACTCTTCAGCGATAAAAGTCTGTTAAAAGCTTGCCAACCGAACTTGCTAATTTTGGGCCCTTGAGTGGAAATTTTCCCAATTTGCTAATCTGAGAGAAAACCAATGCACCACATTGCATTGCCATGTGACACATAGCTATCACCACTTTCCTCGGTTAGAAATTGCGCCACCTTGGATTGTGTGATGTGAGCATCTTGTACAACTCTACTACTTGTTGCTTAATTTGGTGCACTATCTTGACATATTTTGCTGCAATTTTCTCCTCCGTTACCTGCCTTGCCTGCGAAACCTGACCCAGGTAAGTGCTTCTTTCTTTGTTGGATTGATATTTCTGCTTTTGAGAGCCATAAAATCGACCAGGATTTACTCATAGTTAGGGTCAGTAACCCTCAGAGTTATCTCCTCTCTTTTTGAATTTATGATTGAGCACCTCATGGCCAATTCTGATACACAGATAGCACAAATGTGATAGCCTTGCCATAGGTCGTCAAGGGTTTTTCTGGCGAGTGAGAGTCCTTTAGGTAATCATATTTGACCTGTGCAACCTCTCCACTGAGTTGTCCAATCTTCACTCTGTTTGTAGTTGTCAGAATACCTATTGGCAATCGTTGTATTTGTACCAAAAAAAGGATTATATAGAGAAGTCCATCTCTACCATTGTCAAGTCATTCCACTTTTGAAGCACCATGAGATAACACCCATAACTGATCAAGGCACTTGTTCCATAATTCTCTGACCATCCTCCTCTTTGTTGAAAGAGTCCTCTAATAATGTCCCCAGAGTCCTCTAATAATATCTTTAACTCAAAACCTGCTTAGATTCTTGTTTGCAATAATCTTTCCAATAAGATGACATTTTTTTCTCTAGTAAGAGGTGTGGAACTTAAATTATCTAAGATATGGAGGGAGGTGTGTGGTGTTTGTTAGCCATGGATCTAAACAAAGAAAATATAATAAGGTAGCAAAATCGGAGCAACAATGCACATAAAAGGAACAAAGATGCTCTGGAAGAAGGTGACGATTACTAAGAAGTTCAGTTTTTTGCATATAGGCTGGGGATATCCGAGTTAACAGAAGCAGGGGTATAACGAAGTGATCTTGGGTAGTTAACAGAGGGTTGGGATTCATTTTAAAAGCAAGTAAAACAAAATATGTGATTTATTACCTAATGATGATTGAGGGACATCACGGGTTATGGGATTTATTTTGAACTTATTGGGATTATTAGCATTAGAGGATGTACTTGATGTAGAAAGGAGATATATGAGCGGTATAGACCAGGTCGGGATGGGCTTCACTACATATTAAGGAAATATGTATCTCACTCTAGGCTTGACCCTGGTATTGGGATTAATTTGGCCATCCTAATCTGACCATAAAAAATTCAAACCCCAGACCCACCCATTATGCCTGTATATATGGGCTGCAAAGTTACTTTTGACCTCTGAACAAATCCCTCTATTGTTGAATTATTTGCAATATGACAAGTCTCATTCCACAAAGCTTTGTTTTGATTATAGAACATAATATTTATCAAAAAATATAAATAAAAATTATACGACTTAATGACCAGAGTATCCATAGTTACTCCCCAAAAAAGAAGAAAAAGAAAAAAAACAGTAGTTCCCAAATTATTTGGGATTGGAAGTTCAACCAACAATTACTACTTAATACATCACATTGTCCAAAAGTTCAAATTCAAATTCCAGAAACATCATATTGTCCAAATAGTTTTACTCTCACAGCCTTGAAACAATAAGAAAACTAATCACAGCTCCAAGTCCATGAAATTCCAACATGCACAGAAGTTGTCTTTCTTCAACAGTCTCACAATAGCCCCTATAGAAAACATACAAAGAAATTTGTGAACATGGTATAGAATAAACAAATTAAAGGACATTTTTTTTTTTAAAAAATTTCAATGAAAAGAGAAAGGGGAATGGGGCCTCACCCTTCAATCCTCACTGATACAACATTGGTAAACATAGGGGAAATACAAAGAAAGTAAAAAAATGAGGTTTTAATAAATTTGTCCAGGCCAGTGTCCACCCCTCGAACATAGGCATAGGGATTTGTAAGGGTTCAAGTTGGTCCCCAAAAAACCCTCCCAGTCATACTGGTTGTTTTGGGAAGTGCCAAAAAAAGTTGACTTTTTTGTTTATTATGAAAAGACGTGTGATCCAAATAAGTCAACAAGTTGACCTCTTTGGCACTTCCCAAAAGAGAGAGAAGAAATAATACGTCTTCAAAAAATAGATGATGCTTACTAGAATTTTTTTAATCTTACCTTATGTTCACATGATTCATGTAATGTTTTTAAATGATGGCATACTTTCTTTCTTCCTCTTCATTTTTTTTTTTTTTTTTGGCGGGGTGAATAACGATGGCATACTTCCAATCAAAAAATAAGATGATAATAATAATAATAATAATAAATGATGGCATGCTTGTTGTATCATCCCATTCAACATTGTTTGTTGTGTTTCTGAAATGAAATACATATAGTAATGATGCCAGAAAGTTGGGGATTCTATATACCCAAAGTCTCAGATTCCCTATACTTAAATAAACAATCAACCATACGACATGCCAAGAATCTTGAAATATAGATAACTTGAGACACGATCATGGGATTGAGAGTGCTTTGGATACATGGGAATAGGAATTTTGGGTAAGAAGATCTGTGCCATTCCATAAATACAAGCTAGAGTTACATGATTTCATCTTAAAATAGATCACATAAGCATTATACATAAACAGTGCAGTAAATCTAAAAATGTATCCAGAGATATAAAACGTATTGCGAAACAGTGCCTAATCAACTTCAGTTTCTATGCCCCCTCCTTTTCTGTCTTCTCGGCTTGTGTTGTTTCCTTTCAAAAGTCTTGATGAACCATGTGTGATACCTTGTGGTTATTGAGTGCCCAATAACCATCCCAACCACTATACCACTCACATATCCCATGCATATGACAATCCACTCAACTGTACTTGGGAACATTGAATCATTATCTTGTTCAGAGTTCAATGGTGGTGGTGGTGGTGCCTCTAACTTTCCACATTTCCTTGACAAAGGGTCTTCGCACAATCCGAAATTCCCCTGATAGGAATTGTTCTCGAATGTGTTGAATTGCTTCCCATGTGGAATGGGTCCTGTGAGATGGTTATTTGAGACATTTAAAATTGCAAGAAAAGTGAGAAGTGCTAGTTGCTGGGGGATTTCTCCCAAGAACCTGTTTTGAGAAAGGTCCAAAGATTCAACGTTTGTTAGGTTCCTGAAGCATGACGGGGTTCCACCACTAAGGTCATTGTTGGAAAGGTTGAGCAACTGACCTTTGAGGCTTCCAATAGAGTCTGGAATGTCCCCTTTGAATTTGTTGTGTGAGAGATCAATGGCAATGAAGACATTTTATATCTCCTCATAAATTGTATTTACACCTTTGTTTGTAAAGGTCATGGTGTAGAAATAGGTAGAACCCCAAAATATATCCATTTGCCAGGGAAGTTGCATGATTACATACATATACGTCGTCTTGTTGACTTCAAAAAATTTCATTGCATTCCAATTTTGAAAGAATTTTGTTGGCAAATCACTCGTAAAACCATTATGAGAGAGGTCAATGATGTGCAAATTTGGTAACTCAAACTTGATTTTTGGACTCCCTATTACACCATAGAATTTGTTGGATGGCAAGATGAGAACCTGTAACCTTGTAAGATCTCCTAACCAGAAAGGGAATGTATCTTCAATCAAATTAATTGAGAGATCAAGAATCTCAAGCTCAGTACAACTTGCCAATGATCTTGGCATCTTCCCTTGCAATTTATTTCCACTGAAGTCAATCATTTTCAATTTGTTTCCTTTATTGTATGAGTGAGGAATGAGACCCTGAAAGTTGTTTCCTTTGACATTCAAAACTAACAGAGAATTACTTAACTTACTCAAACATGGCAGAATAGTTATTAGAAAAATGAAGAGCGTAAAGAGAACTCAATCGACAGATCAATTGTGGAATTTCTCCTGTCAATCCGTTGTGTGAGACACGATAAGATTTGGGTGGATAGTGGTGGAACTGGCAGTGGTCCTTGCAACATGTTATGAAAAAGGTCTAAAATGCGTAAATTATACCATGGAAGGATATCTGGATGTTGCTCAAAGCCTTTTAGAAAGTTTTTCTGAAGACTTATATTCTTTAGAGTTTGTACACTTGTGTTCAACTTCCATGCTGGAATTTGGCCATGAATTTTGTTTTCATCAAGATATATCACCTCAAGTTTGTCTTGGAAGCGTAGAAAATTTGGGAATTCCATCAAGTTGCATGAATCCAGTAATAACACCTTTAACTTTGGAAGTGTGTTATTGGAAGTTTTTTCGGTTAGCACTGTTAATTTGTTTACTGGATAAATTGAGGAACATAAGATTTTTTAGCATAAGAAAAATTTCAAGTTCCAAGCTGCTGAGGTTATTGTCAGCAAGGTAAACAATTTTAAGATTCTTTAGCTCAAAGAATGACCTTGGGATTGGGCTTTGCAATTGGTTGTCTTTAAGTAATAGACAAAGTAGATGGGTCAGGTTTGTTAAATGAGATGTTATTTCACCACTTAAGTGATAAACTGTTTAGAATAATAGGCCAATGTAACGATGAGATTCGAACTTAGACATTACACATGATAAGAAAGAATTTCATCGAAAAAGTCTAAATTATTCATCACAATCAGTAAATGAGCACTTTATTCACCAAGTCAATTCTTTAATCTCTAACTTGGGATAAATTGATAAAAATGATCAAGTTTGTTATGTCCCCAAATTGGTAAAAATAATGTAAGCGAAACCAAAACTTCTCATTGGCATAGTCGAGCACAAATCATTGTTTCATTTCGTATCCCATCTTTTGTGTCATATCCATCCCAAAGACTAGAAAAGTGTAGAAAGAGATGAACTTTGGCATATAATTTTCCATAATTGTTACATGTTCTACCATAGTGAAAGTTTGAAGCAAAAGTTCCAAGTCTATACATAATTGATGATTGAAGTTTCACACTACAATCATTTCATATTTTGACTTGGAAATTAAAAGCTTTACCCAACAAATGCAATTAACTCTACATTTTAATATTATAAGACCTCAATTCACAACATGCTTACAAAAATGCCAACATTATCGAGCTTTTAACTCTGTGATGGTTACTTCATTGGCTGAACACATTATGTTTTTGCTTTCGGATGATGAATCTACTCCTTGTGGACTCTCTTCCCCGAAAAAGGCTGGTTGTTTAGGCTGAGGCATCGCACCCTCACCACCCAACATCATTGTCACAGCTGACATGCTCGGCCTATTTTCCCGATATTGTTGTACGCATAGTAGTCCAACATGAATTGATCTTAGCACTTCACATTCGCACCATGATCCCCTTACTAATGAATCAACTAATTCCAGTGGCCTTCCTTCTATGTAGAGTTTCCATGCCTAACCAAAATCACAGTTATTTTTCAGTTATTTTAAATTAGTGTCAGGCTTCTCTCCAGGGTACCCTTGTCTAATGACAGGTTGTGAGAGGCCTATAGGTTGCGTTATACCTAAGTTCATTGTGGAGTTTACAGGCCTCTCACAACTAGTGCAGTGAAGAGAAACACTTTCTTTTAAAATTTAGGGTTGGCAATTCATTATTGAAGACTTACATGGCCAAGAAGGTTAAGGTGGTGATCTGGATGATGAAATTCTCTATTCCTTTTTCCACTCAATATCTCCAACACTAATACCCCAAAGCTAAACACATCAGATTTTACAGAGTAAATACCATGAACTGCATATTCTGGAGAAATGTAACCACTGCGCACCAAAAAAAGAAAAGAAAGAAAGATAAAATATAAATGATTAAGTGGGGTATTTTTTGTAAGTAACATTCTTAAATGTGCTTACTGTGTTCCAACTACTTTATTCGTTTTTGCTTCAGTTTCATTGCCACCAAAACTTCTAGCAATGCCAAAGTCTGAAATCTTTGGGTTCATCTCATTATCTAATAAGATATTATCAACCTTTAGATCTCTATGAATAATTCTCAATCTAGAATCTTGATGAAGATAAAGAAGTCCTCGTGCAATCCCAACAATAATGTTGAAGCGTTTAGGCCAATCTAACAACATGCTACGCTTTTGATCTGGCAATTTATTTTAACAAAGTATATCAGGATTCTAATTGTTCATGATGCTAGTTAGAAATGGAATAGACGATGATTAAGATTAATAAAATTGTTGAAACTATATATATAAGGGTTCTAAGATATTCAAACCGAAAATAAAGTAGTCCAAGCTTTTGTTAGACATGTATTCGTAGATCAACAATTTCTCTTCTACTTCAATGCAACATCCAAGGAGTTTCACAAGATTTCGGTGTTGAAGTTTGGCAATATAAATAACTTCATTCTTGAACTCGTCAGATCCTTGTCTTGAATTTTCAGAAAGCCTCTTCACGGCTATTTCTTGTCCTTCCATCAATATTCCCTGAAAATGATTACTCTGTCACTTTGATTCTAAGAATTAGGTAGCATACAAATTGTGATTTTACCTTGTATACTGGTCCAAATCCACCCTCTCCGATCTTATTATCTTGTGAAAAGTTTTTGGTCGCATTGGAGATTGTAGCCAATTCAAAGAGTGGTAACTCAAACTCCTCCTTCTGGTTCTCCTCTGCATATATACAAGGCATTGGAAAAGATATAAATAAAAGAAACTATCTTTCCATCTTTCTGTTATTCTTTTTTCTTTTTGGGTTTTGCATGATTTTATTGTAATTTTTATCATAATAAGACATGTCAACAAATAAAATAATTTAATGACCTAAATTTAAAATTAAAACAAAATAGCATTAGAAAATTCTCTTTTTTATTTTAAACTCCAAACCTAAAATAATTTTGTTTTGTTACAATTTTAAATTTGGATCGTTGAAATACCACAATGAAATTATTGCAGACAATAATTACAAAGATCATAAATCAACTCTATTTTATTCTATTCTATCACGGAAACAGTGATGCTCACATTGAAAAAGCATAGAAAAGTTTCTAAGAAAATGTATTATCACATCACATTTAAATGAGAAAACCACATAAGAAATGAGTGAGCAACTAAACATTAAATCAAATGAGAGAGTAAAGAGACGTAGAGAAAATAAAAGACTTGCCTCGTTTCCTTTGCTTCTTGCCAACCCAAAAAACCAGAGATAGACCAAGAAGTAGAATACCCACAAATGTTATAGAGGCAGCTATGACCCTCTTTTGTTTATTTGGACTGGAGCGTTCATGATGAGTTGTCAAACCATCTTCACAAACATACAATTCACCCAATTATAAACAGTTAAACAATCAGATAATTACAGCACCTAAAAATTTTAAAGAAAATGTCAATAACACTATAACATATAAGAATTTTAGAAATCAAATTTTTGATAAAAATTTTGTTACAAAAGACATTTAAGAATAAATTTCTAGCATCGTGATGATAGTTGCTAAAAAGTCGTCCCGAAAAATAAAAAATAAGGTTTTTAGTGACAAAATTTTGAAAATGTCACTAATAAATACACTTTTAGGGACAAAATAATTTAGTTTCAAAAGAGTTCATTTTTTAAACAAAAAATTTAGTCCCAAAAGAATAATAATTTATCTCTAATGACTAATTTTCGTTGCTAAAAATGCAACAATAATACTTTTGACAATTAACTTTTCGATCCTAAAAAATAATTTTGTTTCTAAATTTTTATTTTTAAAACTTTAATTTGTTATAGTGTTGTTCATAGGGCTACAAATGAACCGAACTGTTTATGAATAAACTCGGCTCGGCCCGGCTCGTTAAGGCCTCGGCTCATTTAGCGATCGAGCTCACATAAGCTCGGCTCGTCAAGCTCGACTCGTTTATCTTTATTTAAATTATATAATAAATATATTATTTATGTATTAAATAATATATAAATAATAATATAAATAATATTTTTTATTTAAATAATATAAATAATATTAAAAAAAATTATCGAGTCGAGCCGAGCCGAGCTCGAGCCTAGTTCCTTATCGAGCCGAGCTCGAGCTCAATAAACGAGTTCGATAAGTAAACGAGCCGAGATCGAGCTCAGCAAAGCTTGGCTCGGCTTGGTTCGTTTACAATCCTAGTTGTTCATATCCAATTTATCTAATTTTTTTCATAAATAATTTATTAAGTGTGTTTTGCAATATAAATTATTTAAATTATCTCAATATTTTTTAGGATATTCTAATCTAAGTAAAGCCCCCAAAAAATTAAAAATTTTGGGACATGGCACTCCATAACCTCGTATCCCAATACTTCTAGTTCAATATTAGATGGATAAATATTTGTATACCTATTTCTGAAGCAGCCATACGTATATATATAATCTGTCCATTTTCATTAAACTCCCTCAAATCAATTAAATCCCCAAACCAAACCAAACACCCACTTCCCTCTCCTCTGATATCCGAGCTCGTATAACCCATACAAGAACAGTTCATCAAACACAATGTCCTACACTCAACAAGGCTCATACTCTCATTGAACCATGACTCCCTAGTGTCCGGCAATTTCACCCCACTATACTTCACAAACCCATCGCTCCAGCAGTCCAGCTGCACTGCTCGATGGCACCCGCCCGACCAATCTGCACCCTCCCAATCCCTCAGAAACCTCGGCTCGAACCCATCCAAACACCAACACGGCGGGGATCGGTTTATTATGCAGTTACCGTAGGCCCCACATAGCCCGTAACTGTCACAGTTGTCAGTTTGTGCAGATGAGTAGAGTACCCACTCGTTGGTCCGCTCGGCCCACGTAAACCGCTGGACTAATCCGGTTGGGCTTAACACCAACCGGGTAAAAACCAAGCTGTTCACGAGGTTGAACTGATAGTACATCTCCTCTTTATTGGAAAAAAACCCATATGTGTAAACCGGGTTTGGGCTTAACATCGGAAACCCGCTGAATCGTAGACCATTCCATGGACCGGACCGGAATTTTACCGTGGTCCCACTTCTGACAATCAGCTGTGGAGATCCACTGGGGTCGAGCCGGTAGGTGAAGTTTCCTAGAGAAGGATTGTCAGAGCTTCTCCAGGATGTCAGGTAGCGGTCCAACCCAGATACCAAATTCTTCCCGAACTTCATTCCGGGTAGAAAAGTAGCTGTCGGATAATCAAAACTTTGCCATAAAATATTTTGGGGTTGATCTCCGTCTCGCACGACAAGATTTCCATTGTCAAACAACTGTGTCACTGGATTCTGAACCGTTGTCGATGAATTCGAGGACCAACTTACATTGCCAGTGCTATTGAGAAGAACCAGAATTCCTGGATTTGTGATTTTTAGAACACCGAGTGAATCGGTGAGCGGCCTAGCTCTGTTTGCGACCCAGACAATTGTTCTGGTTGAGATTTTCTTGTACCAGATTGCCAAGTAGAAGTTGTTGGAGTTCCCGGAAGTGAAGAAGCCGAGCTCGAAGTTTTTTTGGGATGAAACAATGGTGTCGGTTACTCCAATTGTTTGATTTGCTGTAATGGTGTCTGTCATGGCGTTGGAGAGTATTAATATGGAGAAGAAGAAGGAAGAGCTGTGAAGAATTGTGGCAAATAAGCATCCCATTGTTGGCCTCTTTGTCTTGTTTTTCTTTGTTAGATTGATATAGTAAAGAAATGATGAAGCAAAATTCTTTTTGGCTTTCGTTTGGAATGTTAGTTGACTTAGTAATATTTTTTTTTTGACTTTTTGATCATTTGATACCTCTTTTATAAATATATTATTTTTGTAATTTTTTGACTTTTTAACTAAAATATGAGATTAAAAAATAAGTATGTTTGTGATAACTTTTTGATTTTTTACAAAAAGATGTATTAAGAGAAAATGAAATCTTTGACTTTTTAGTATAGGTTCTAAATTTTTTATTTTTTTAATAACTTTTTGGCTTTTAAACTAAAATAGGCACATGGAAGGACTTTTCGACTTTTTAAATTTTTGTGTAAGAAAAAATAAAATAATTATGGTTTAGATATAACATTTTGTCTTATTAACTTTTTATTCTAATTTGTGTTTTTATGACTGAGATAACCAAAAAAATGATTTTGTTGGAGAAGTTGATTATTTTAAAAAATTAAAATATTTATATTTAGCAAGATGGTTAACTTTTTTTTATATTTATAATTACATATAATATTTATTAAAAAAAATATAAAATAATTATAAATATAATATGACATTTTATTTTATTAATTATTTTAATTTATTTTATCTTTTTATAAATTTTAACTCAAAAATAATCTAATTTTTAACTTCCCAAACAACCCTCTTGTTTCTTCTTTGGCGGCGGCTGTATTTTGGTTGTTTGTTTCTGCTTTTGGTGGCGGCTGTATTTTGGTCCCTGGTCATATGTGATTTGAAGGGTTGGCTACGGCTGTGGGTTGGTTTTTTAATTTTCGATTATTTTAATTTAGAATTAAAAATTTTTATTTAGGATTAATTTTTTTGATTTTTTTGATTTTTGTAAAAGAAAAGTAAAATAATTATAGATTAGATATGATGTTTTATTTTATTAAATTAAAAAGTCTAATTTATCTTTTTGTGACTATTTTAACTAAAAAGCCTTTGACTTTTTTATGCCAAACAAGCTCTATCTTCAATTTTGGCTCATTTTAACTTCATTGATTATAAATGTTAGTATTTTTTAATATTAAAAAATACATAAATAAGTGACATATATTATATTGTTAAGAACAAAATTATAAATTTGTACAATTCACTGAGGTAATCTCAATTAATTCAGTTAATTATTTTCTAGTAAAAAATACTAACAACGTTATTAATTTGACCAAATTGACAAAAAACTAATACTTAAAAGTCAAAATTGAGTCAATTGAAAATGTATGAACTAAAATGATACAAGAAATAAAAGGTAGACTATAGATGTAATTTGTCATATTTTAGTAATTTGTCTTATTTTAAATTACACTAATCTCTTTTGTGAGATTTGAATACATTGAGCACTCATTTGGCATAAGTTAAATGAGATTTTTTTAGATAAAATAGTCATAAAAAGATAAAATAAGTTTTTTAGTGTAATAAGATAACATTTCACATCAAAACTATAATCATTTCATTTTTTTTTCTTACAAAAGTCAAAAATGCCAAAAAACCTATCTCAAGTGAGGCTTTTTAGCTCCAGGCTAAAATAATCAAAAAGCTAAAAAATTAACTCACATCCCAAACGAACCCTTCAGGTGGTAAATTACAAATACACATCTAGAATTTTGCTTAAAGTATAAATTACCTCAAGTAGTTTGAAAAATTACAAATATCCCATTGTTAGAATTTTTTATTTAACAGAATTAACTAAAAAAATAAAACTCATAATTGCTCTCTTACACAATAATAAAATTACCTAAATTATTAATTAAAACATATTTCTAACATTATTAAAAATTATTAATTGACTTGATAATTTATTAATAAAATAAGTAATTTGTTATGGAATTAGAAACTTCAAGGGTGAAATGTAGTTTCGAAAACTATAAGGAGCGATTCGTATTTTAATCAAATCTCAAGAAATGTATTTGTAATTTACCCTTTAAACTTTTAATTTACAGTAACACATACATACTACATGGTCTATTTTCATGTATAATTTATTATTTAGATAGATATTATATATATATATTTTTTCCATTGAAATACATATTTTACACATTTTTATTCAAGTGTTTTTTGCATTATCTATTTTAGTTTCGATCTTTTTAATTTTGTACTGTTGACAAAAACAAAATTAAAAATTAAAATGCTTATATAACTTGTACGGGAAAGAAATAAACCTTCTCGTATAATCTTGTTAACCAAGTCTGCGCTCCTCCGTACGACGTCGCTTTACTCCCTGAAAACACAAACATGAGCTAGCCGGCGGGTGTGTGCCGGATACCTCTCCGATACCTAAGTCAGAAAAATAGACAAATAGAAAAAAGTTCTGTGCATTCGAAAATCAAAGTTGTGTGTTATCTCTCCATAGGTGATGTTGTGAGCTTTTATAGGTTCCACGTGGCACAATCCTAGTAGGACTTTTACTCCTCCATATAGAGTCCTCCTAGGATTCATACTCCTGAAAGATAATGCTTATCCTTCAACACCTCCCTCACTGCTTAAACCAAGTGAGATGGTTCTACCATAGTCAGATTCTAATAAGATCGAGGTAATCATGGCTATGCTGAATCGCAGAGTAGACCGAACTATATTTAGTTCGGTTCTTCTTTTTACTACTCTTTATCTCGGTTTCTCATGTACAAAGAATGGCGTGATTAGACTGAGCTATCGAATAGTAAGGTTCTAACCGGTCTAACCACAATACGCCATGACCGGGCTAACTCTGAGACCAGACTAACTTCAAAGCATCTTTAGACCGGCCTAACTCCAAGTCTCTTCCGGACCGGACTAACTTTCGGGCTCTGGGACTGGACTAACTTCAAAGCTTTTTACTCAGTCCTTCGTATTGTGGCCCATGACGGCCCATTGCCCATCTCGGCCCAATTTTCATATAAATTACCCTCTCAATTGCCCCTTAATTCCATCTGCGTAGCATGATAGGGATTACATGTTTTACTAGCCGAGCTAAGGTTTTTAAGCCTTTCCAGCCGAGCTAAAACCCTTTAGCTTTTCCAGCCGAGCTAAAACTCTTTAGCCTGTCTAACTGAGCTAATTCTACACCGGGTTCTGCTTGTTCGGTCAAAATGTCTCTTCAATCACAGCAACTGAATCGCTTCTCATTCCCATGACACGTGGCTTATTTTGATTGGCTGAAGGTAGCTGTCACGCCGTCTTCGTACTTCGTGTTTTTTGAACAGTCCCGCCAAAAGTTTGAGTTTTTCACCAAAACAAACCCTAAAGCTCTTGAATCCATTACCTTACTATTCATTTCACCTTTCTCTCTCCCTTCTGAGCTCTTTTTGTTCTTCGATTTGCACTTGAAGAAGCTGCGTGGTTTTGCTACCGTTTTTCTCATCTTCAGTTTCCTTCTCTTGACCTGGTAAGCTACTCAAACCTGTTCCACTTTTCTTGTTTTTGCCCTTGTTTAATCCATAGCATACTGTTTTGTGTTTTTTGCAAAACACTTTCTTGCTTTACCTTGTGTTTTCTGGAAAAAACATTATAAGAACCACTTGAATTCACGAAACTCATAGAACGCCGTTTTTGATCCAAAATCCCAATATAACCGAACTAATAAGTAGTTTGTAGTTAACGTTAGACCAGCCTGACTAACTAACCGAACTAGAACTCCATGCTATGCCATTAGTTTCAAGAAATAAAACCTCCTTGTGATTCGACTAGCCGATCTTTTGAACCGTACTAGGTCTATGCAATACTATGTTTGAAAGCCTCAACCACGACCGAGCTATGACTGGGGCTAGACCAACCTTCGTAGTTCAACCGAACTAGGAGTGCTGCCCCTAGAGGTTCATCCGGGCTAGCAAAACCCTTGCACGAACTGAGATAACGAGCCCCTTGTATAAACCGAGATACCAAATCCCTAGCGCAAACCGAGATAACCAAACCCTTGCTCAAAACTGGGCTAAGACACGTAGCATTTCACATAGCCGAGCTAAGATTTGATATATCTTCCCTTTATTTCTCTTTAGCACGGTCCAACGGTCTGTGCTTAATACCTTTGTTTTTTCACTTTGCAGACTTTAGATCGCCCAGGCACTCCTTTGAGAGCTCAACCGAGCTACTCAGTCCACTTCTGTGACCGAGCTAATCACAAGTATAATTTATTCATAACTTAAGACAAAATGGGTAAATATAGACTTTTAGTAGAAACACCAGGTGGCCTGGCCGAATTCCGAAGGGAGTATAACATTCCTGACGACGTCCATCTCACCTTAGCCGAATAAGATATCATACCCTGGGGAAACCCTGGTTTTGTTCCCTTCACCCTCCTTTCCATTGTAAAAACCGGCCTAAGATTCCCTGTACAGCCCTTACTTTGTGAATTCCTTAGGCAAACTAGGATATGCCTAACTCAACTTTCCACAAACTCATACCGCATAATAAATGGTATAGCCGAGCTAAACCGTTGTGCTGGCATTAACCTCGGCTTAGCCGAACTCTTTCACCAATATTCTATAGGCTCAAAAGAAGACGGGTGGGTTTATTATTTAAGAATACGACGCCGGCGTGAGAAAATAATAAAGGACACACCGGACAAAGACCTAAACGATGACGATTTTTTCTGGGTATCTGGCAATTTTGAAGACCACCAAGCCCAGATCCCTGGTGACCGAATAAACTAGAAAAAAGGAACCCCCGGTATAATTACCTCGGCTCTTTTGCATGCTTCTCTTTATTTCGGTCTCCTATTTCTGAACCAAACTAACAGTTGCCTTCTATGTGCAGATTCAGCCCACCTTAAGTCATTATTCAGTTACCCCAACCTAGACACACTTCGCGCCGCACTACGATACCCTGAAAAAAGTTGGGCCAAACTACTGAATTTTGAGCCGACGTACAGATATAGCAGCCGACGAAAAGCCAGAGTAACAGATTTTTTGCTAGAGGCTTCTTCTGAACCGGACCCGACCTTGCCATAAATCATCCTAGTCCGTACTACTGCTGAAGAAGAAATGGCGAAGAGGAACAGAGTAAGGGCCCTCATAACCGAAAAACACCCAGCCGAA